AAAGAATATACCCCGGAGACCTTAAAGATACACTGGCCTATTTTGCCATCAATGCGGCTTTGATTCTGTGTCCGAAGATGTCAATACAGTCAGTATAACCAGTTGGAGGTTTTAGTCATGGATGTTGGCAGCAGAATTATTTATAAATAAAAATTTTGGAACCGCTTAAATGCTTACTAGGAAAATTGTTAGAACAATGACGCACTCACAGAGTCATGACTGAGTCTGAAAGTACTAGCAGCAGCGGAAGAAGATGTCACGGCAAGTGAAAAAGACAAGGAACAAAAGTCAGCCTGCGACTGTGGGGAAACCTGATGGCAGGATCCAGGGATGGGGGAGACAAATGCTGGTTCTTCCTGTCATTTCCCCCACTTTTTGTCATCAGGAGTTAATCTCACTGATGATGGTGTTCCCAAAGCTTGGGGCCCCGTAGAAAAGCACAGCATACCCCAAGTTGAGATACGTCCCACCTTATTCTCCCTATCTATCATATTCTCATCCACAGCCTCTGTCTTGCCTCGGGATGCCCTTTGGCACCGTTCTTTCCAGCCTGTTGATTCGTGTTCTGGGCAGGGAGGGTCCTTTTCAACCAAACAAGAACTGATTGCGCCTTGTCTACTGGAGAGCAGAGCACCTGCTACCATAAGCAACTTTGTTTCCTAGATCTAAAAGAAGCTAGGTCTGAAGTTTCTTTTCCACACTGGAAACAAAGTGGTTTATGGTACCAGTGCCATACTGTTTAGACCCAGAGGTTAATTGGAGGAGTCACTTGCTAAGCTTGAAAATGACTCGGGGAACAACTTCCGTTGTTGGATTCATTGTTCCTCAGCTGAAGAAATGCCATCGCCCCGAGTGTTTAAATCCTGCCTCTTGCTCTTCCCTCTTAGCACTCACTCACTCACTCACTCACTCACTCACTCACTCACTCCTCCGTACCACGCACGCCAGCTGTACTTACTGCCCAGCCAGTGGGGGAGGCAGTCCTCCTGAGCCTCGGGCACTGCATGTCCAGCTGCCCAGTGTCGTCAGTGTCAGAATGCCAGCCAGCTCTGACACCCCACTTCTGGTGACAGGGAAAAGGCTGGCACTATCCCTGGGGCCTGTTCAACAAATCAGGATTTAGGTCTCTAGGGGCTAAGAGCAAGTGTTTTATATGGAAACTCTGAATGCCATATTAAAAATCTGTATGCCAGAGCATTCCCGTTTCTGTTTCCCTAGTCACAGCCGAAAGGAATGCCTCTCCAAAAAAAGAAAAGCCCACCAAAATCACTGCCATCAAGCTGATTCCAACTCATAGCCACCCTACAGGACAGAGGGAACTGGCCCGGGGGGCTTCCAAGACGCTCTTTACTGGATTAGACAGCCTCACCTTCCTCCTGCAGAGTGGCTGGTGGTTTTGAACTGATAATCTTACAGCTCATCATGTACCCGCCATATGTCACCAGGGCTCTTAAAGGAATGACTCTAGTTAAATCTCTTCAGGACTCACTTTTTTCTTCTTGTGGGACTCACACTTAAAGAATGAGACCCTGCTGGTTTGAAAGGACAGGAAAAATATACTCCACTTTTTTTTTTTAAGGTGCAGCTAATTTTATTACTCCCAACAGCAGTAGCTAGGGTATCAGCACTGTCACCAGCCCGTCAACACCAATGCCCATAGTGTGCGAACCGGCGGTGGGATTAGGGGAGCCCAGTTCTTTTACAGCAGATAGTAAGCCTTTTGTTCCAGGAAAGAGAGAGGATCCCGATCCTACTGCCAGCTAGTAAGTTCCTCTGACAGGAGCTCCGGTTCCTATCTTTCAAGGCTGACTGCTCTACAAACCTGTTGCCTGTTGAGTCAGCTCTGACTCATAGGTCCGTACTGGGTAGAGTAAAACTAACTGCCTTACAGCAAAGAGC